TCTTATTTCTTGGTTTTTGTGGTTTTAAGGAGGTTGGTCCTATGGAAGTGTTCAGGCGATGGATTTCCAGTTGTTTTGAGGTGGTTCGGTCGGACTATGGTGAGGATGGTCTACAGTAGTGATGACGGATGAAGGCGGTGGCGTTGATTGCTCTGTTGTGAAGGTGAACCACTTCCAGTGATGGCGGTTGGCAATTGGTGATAATCGACTAAGTGGTGGTTCTTGGTTGTTGCAGGAGAAGTTTACACAAAAAGATTGTATTGCTCGTATCCCACATCGATGGTGGGAAAATAAAACAAGGCACAAATAATTTATAAAAAAGGGGCATCTGTCTCCTTTAAAAATAAAAACAGTTGAGTTTTGGGCTAGTTGGCTCCATTAGGCTGGCAAGTTCTTTAGTTTGGGCTGGAGTTGTTGGACCGATTTGAAGTCCGAGTTGGCTGATTATGTCCGATTTGGTCCGACTTTGACCGATATTGACCAAAAGCGCCTAGTCAACCCTCAAACACTTATTCGTAGGCGGTTGGGGACCGCCAAGAGCTAGGCGCCGATTAATCGGTCGCATAAACCGATTTTTACAACACTGAAAAAGAGTAAGACATGCAAAGGATGGAAGTTATAACGGATCCATTAAAATTTGTGATAAATGAATCTTCGGTTAAGGAAAATAACGATGTATGGATAAAAGTGAAGTGTGATCACCATTGAAGTCAAACTTCTCACTAATACAGTTGTTCAAACTTGGATCAGGAACCGCCTAGGCATATTTTATTCTTCATTGGCACGAACGAGGAACCAATAGGCCAATGATCGTACCAGTTTGACTTGAATGAGGAACCAATAGGCCAATAACGGTCGTATCAGTTTGATTTGAACGGGGGAGCATCGTTCATTGTTGAGGAAATTCCATGTGTAAGTCACGTCTGCAACCGAATGACAAACTATGTATAAGTCGCGTTTAGAATTTTATAAGCAATTCAAACCTACGGAAATATCTTTTATGACTATAGATGATTTAGTTGTTGCTTATTTTTGTCTTAGATTTTTGTTATGTAATATTAAAAAAAAAATTGATGAAGATTTGTTCAGAATTTACTTTTCTTATAATATTACTAATATTTTTTTTCCTACTATCAATGATACTAGGTTGATGAAAATTTATTTAGAATTTTATTTTTTTATAATATTATTTATATTATAAAAACATTATTATTGTTGTTTCTTTATCTTAATAAAAAACAAATTTATAATTATTAATGTTAATAAAGTTAGTAATAAAAATATAATTATTAAATAATAAAGCTTTATTGATTATATTATAATAAAATAATGATAAAAGTTAGTCAAATGATAATTATATGATAATGATGACTTCAAAAATAAGACAAAGATAATAATGACTAAAAAGTAAGATTAGTGGTGTATGAAGGTGATGTAAGTTTGTGCGTGTACATAAGACTAACCGGTATACGTAGCACGAGCTGGACCGTGGTCTAGTTGGCCACGAACCACGGCTGTGCACACCACCCCGGTGGTTCGTGGTGGGTCGTGGTCGTGGCCTTCCGTGTCCCGGACAACGGACGTAAACGACCAATGAGCTCCGATGCAAAGAATTTGACCGTTTGTTTCGTTTGTGTAGCCGTTGTTGAACGGCTAGATTTATTAAAAAAAAAACAATTTATTTACCTATAAATACCATATTTTTACTCCTTATTTTTTACACCATTCTTTTCTTTCTCTATACACAAACTACACACTACATCTTCACAACCAAAATTCATGGATCCCAACCAAAATACCCCTCCAAACTACCGAAATCGCAAACCCGATAACGCTTTTGCGTTAGATACAACACCTCGACAATTCCCGACTATGGAGTCACCTCAATGCGGTTTTATCAATCTACTTCAAAGTGGTTCCCCTATCCAACAAACACCACTTTTCCAACAACAATATCAACCTTTTCCGGCTTTCCAACAACAACAAATGCAACAACAATAACAACAATTTCAACAATTCCAACAACTACAACAACTCCAACAACAATCGTTACAACAACAACAACCACCAATTTCACAACCACCAAGCTCACAACCACCACTTTCGCCGGATTTTGTTCCGGAAACGCAACCTTCACCACCACCTCAACCAAAAAAGAAAAAAGGAAAAAAAACGGCCTGACCCATTACCAACCAAGAAAGGGTCCCATGGACAAAAGAAGAAGAAGAAAAGTTAGCGGAGGCATGGACGGCGGCTTCCGAAGATCCAATTGTAGGAGATAGCCAGACTTATGAAAGTTTTTGGGAAAAAGTCCGAGCCATTTTTTACGAGTTAATGGAAAGTCAAACTCGAAATGCCGATCAAATTACGTCAAAATGGCGAGATATTCGACTAAAATGCACCGATTTTGGAGGAATCTACAACAATCTCCTAAACATACGCAAAAGCGGCTCGAACGATTTTGATGTATTCAAGGCGGACATGGACCAATATGAAAAAACAACGCCTACACGCAAAGCTTTCCGTATATGAAACCGTGGCAAAAATTGAAAGACTCCCCAAAATGGAAAGAGCAAACGGAAGGAAGTTCCCAATCTTCCGGTTCAAAGCGTTCGAGAAACCCCAATGGAACTTCTCAACAATCGGACGGCCGAACACACATCGACATCAACGACGATCCGATAGATCTTGAAAACGACCAACCTCTTCGTCAGCCCGTTGGAAGAAATAAAGCAAAAAAAGCGACGTCAACATATTCAAATTCTAGTGTTATGGATATGTTCGGCGATAAATTTGATCGATATGTGCAGCTTCAAGAAATGAAGGCCGAGGTGATGACTCGGATGGAACAAAAAATGATCGAAGCACAAACATCATTTCAAGAGGCACAAGAGACACTCCAAACAAAAACCGATATGAAAATCTTGAAATGAAAGCGGACGACCTTGAGGGCGAAGACTTGGAACTTTTCCAAGCAATGAAAGAGTCGGTTCGAGCCCGACGTAGGCGTAGGGGGTAATTTATTTTATGTATGGTTGGAATTTTTAGTTTTTTTTAATGTTTTTTTTTTTTTTTTTAAATTTAACTAATGTAATTTTTATTTTGATTGTTATTTTTATTTTATTTTTTAATTTCAATTAATTTAGTTTTTATTTAATGTAATTTGGTATTTTAATTTAATGGAAAAACTAGTATTAAAATTTTTTTTTAATGTATTTTTGAATTAAATTTAAATAAAAAAATGAGGTGGAGTGGTGTGTTTAGTGGTAAGTATCCCATGTTAGTGGTAGTGGAATGTGGTGCTGATGTGACACCCACCACATATGTGGTATGTGGTGGGTATAACATATGACCTAATATGATAATTATATGATAATGATGACTTAATTTATTCCTACCTCATCTCCACTTATATCTACCATCTAATCATTTTTTCAATCATTATTTTTACTAATTATTTTACTTTTTTTTTACTAATCATTACTACCTTTAGTTAATTTAACAATTAAATTATGATTACATAGTTATTATTTAATGTTTTTTAATATATAATTAGTTAATATTTATAAATCTATTTATTAAATATTATTTTTTTATTTGGTTTAATTATAGATAACTTATCTATGTTAATTTTTAAAAGATACATAAATATTTGTAAATCTATTTACTAAAATAGTTTTTATATTTTTAATTCTATAAAGTATGATATATATATATATATATATATATATATATATATATATATATATATATATATATATATATATATATATATATATATATATATATATACACAATAACAATTTTTTTAACTTATTGTGTCTCACATATATAATGAATTCAAAATTTTACCTTTACTAATAAACATCATTAAACATATGGTATGAAAATGTTAATTCGCAGCCATCAAATAGCCTAGCAGCCAAAAAATTGTATAGTACTAGTAAACATTATTAAAACATGTGAGTTTGATATATTTTAAAAGAAAAATAAGTTATATGTTTAAAAAAAATCTATTAAAATATTGGTTGGTATATCTTAACTATAATTTGTTTTTTTAGCAGGACAAACAAAATAATTTTTAGCTATAAGCAAACTATAACCCAATTCACTTATCAAACTTCGATGGCCAATATTGCTATGCCAATATTAAATAATAAAAAATATATATTTAACTCGCCGTCCTTATAGTTATTTTGAAGATCAAGATTGGAATATTTGAAAAAACCCAAGTGAAACACTTGGAAATAGGAAAGTGTAGGAAACAACATTTATTTATTAAAAAAAAACAATAGCTAAACTAAAAAAATGATTTTTATAATTTATCCAATAATATTATATCAAACAAAAAACGAATAGATATATCTTTCATATTATAGTATTAGTTTATAACCCATGAGAAACATGGTTACAAAATCAATTAAATTTTCTAAATAAAAACTCAAAACTATTAATTAATTATTTTAAATGAATTATTAATTAAGAGATATTCTCTTTAATGATATATAAAATTATAATCGTTGATTCAAATAAATAAATAAAACTATATCATCTTATAATTTGTATAAATTTTATTTTATGTTTTATTCTAATGTTATTAATGTAATATAATTAAAATGAAAAATTTAAAATTTAAAATGGAAAATCAATAGATTAACAAGTGATATGATATCAATTACAATGTTTAACATGATAACATTTGACAAAAGAACTACTCTTTTATTAGTATAGAGAAAGATATATATTTAAAAATAATTATTTTTACCTAAAAAATAATAATTGAGAAAGTATAATAATAAAAAAAGGGTAGTAATAACATATCCTTTTTAAGAATAAAAAAAATATGAAAAACAACTATTATTATATCAAACCGAAAATGTTTTGTAACTTCTTATTTTTATCAGAAAATTTTTATCTAAAAAAGTAAAGATTATTCCAAAACCAAACGGAATCCTAAACAATTTGAAAATTACTTGTTTTTCAAATTTTATAATATTTGGACCGACAGAATGAAAGGGCCTTAAACTACAATTAATGCAATTTGTAACGGCCTCACATTTCACGCTACACATCCCATTAGACCGCCGGTCTGGTTCTCGATCCTGAGTTGGACCGGTCTCAATTACCTGAAACCAGTCCCAAGTCCAAAACTCTGTGTGTGTTTGTGTGTTTTTAAAATTTTAATATGATCCTGATATTAAAAAAATGGCTACCAGGAATCAACACATGTGATCAACCATCGAACATGGTTTACATAATTAATTACATGGCTATTGGCCACTGTTATTTTTAATACTTAATGAAGAAGACGAAAAGATGGCATATCTTCAATCCTTAGAACATCATCCAAAAGTAGCTCTTTCTCCAATTGTGCCCTTGTTGATTTCAATACCTCCTATAAATAAATAATTATTTATTTATATAATCAGTACAAAATTATTAAATTTGTTACAAATCACTTTTGATGCTTGCTTGCTATATACACTTTTTGGGCATATTTTGATTCGAGTAATTTTGTAAATTGTAATTTTGTCCCAAAAAGTTTTCTCTTGCTTGTTTGAGGTTGTTATAACGTTTCGTAGATAATATTACTTACTAGTCAAATACCTAAAATACCCCTAATAGAGATAACATCTGTGGACAAAAATTTATAGATAACTTACATTAAACTCCATGTAGGTTGCATTTTTCTCCATCCATTTTTTGTCCATAACAACAAATGCAATACAATAAAGGAGATCAAAAGCCCACTCGTTTTCTGAAAATTCATCAAAAATCCTATTCCTAGTTAGTATATGAAATCACATTATTTATTTTTAACGGGCAAAATACTGAAAAACACATATCACCATTTTAGCCACGTAACTACATTTTTTTTAGAGTAAATTACACGAATAGTCCCTATGGTTTGGGGTAATTTGCATGTTTGGTCCCTAACTTATTTTTTTAACTCGGAAGGTCCCTATGGTTTGTTTTTGTTACGCATTTGGTCTCTACTGTTTATTTTTGTTACGCGTTTGGTCTCTGTCTTATCTAAAAAGACTATTATTTAAAAAGGAAAAAATAATGGGGTAGGTGAGGTAAGATGAGGGGTGGGATTAGGGGTGTGTTTATTTAAATAAATTAAAAAAATCAAGGGCATAATAGTCTTTTTAGGTAAAATAGGGACCAAGCGCATAACAAAAACAAACGGTAGGGACCTTCTGAGTTAAAAAAATAAGTTAGGAACCAAAAGTGCAAATTACCCTAAATCATAGGGACCATCGTGTAATTTACTCTTTTTTTTAGTATCTAAACCACTTTGCTTTTTTTACCATATAAGAAAAAACATTTTTCACTACGGAAAATAAGTTAAAATGGTGAAAGCGTGCATTTTTCCTTTTTGAAATTTTTTTAGGGTAGATGAGTCTTTTTTATTTTACCTGACAAAATATGTACAAAAACAGCACTCACATGTGTCCTGGGTTTTGCTGAAACATTAACGCTAATTGGTTAGCCAATATCATCAATACATGCGACAAAAGTTGTACTTTTTTGTACAACCCAAAAAGACAGTAACTTACGAAAAATAACCATAGAAATGAAATATTCAAAAAAAAAAAAAAAAAAGCTTACTAGTAGTATCTAGATCAAGCATTTTCATGAGCATAAATGTAATATTTACACCAGCGGCTGCAAACGGATATTCCCATGCAACTCCCCTAGCCCCTTGTTTTCTCAACAGATGCTGAAAAGATATCTGCATTTTTTTTTTTTTTTAGAATATAATTAATTGTCTCAACTAAAATAAATAAGTTATAGAATAGAGTTTGAATTAATGTAAAATAATCTTACAGAGAATGTCTTTGCAAAAAAGAGCAAATTCTCCAAGGAGATGAATCCAGCTCCCCTGAAATCTGTTGATGGATCTTTTCCCTGCCATCCCATTTTTTTCCATTCATCTGATATCAGCCCATGTAATTCTTGTCCTGGGAATGCAGATGACCATAATGCCCTCAGAGCCTCCTGTTCTCTTACAAAAATGTTGTCATTTTAATTTTTTCAACTCTAATTTTTCATTCCTCCAACATACATGTGTTGTTTCTTTTCCACTTACAGTAAGGGTAAAATGGTCATTTACTCTTATTCAAACTTCATTAATATTAAAAAGGTAAAAATCTACTGAAAGATTCGTTCTTGTAATTGAAATTAAACTACCTGATGTTCTTGCCTGGTAGCATCGTAATAAACCTTTGTCCTGTTTTTTAGTCTTTTTAGTCTTTCTTCCTGTAAGATTGATCAAAGAGGATTTAAAGAAGAAGTTATTATTGTTATCATTGAATAAAATATCGATACTTTTACAGTTTTAGTCACTTCACTTTATTATTTAATCATATTAACTGTAAACTTGCCTGAAGAGGAGTCACGTTCATGAAAATTCTTGCATAACTTGCTTTTTTATTAAAACACACACAAGGAAGGCCCTTCCTTATCCACGTAGAAGCTCCACAAATTGCAGGATCTATAACGACATATACAGTAAACATTTAGTTAATGAAATTGAACAAGAGGGTGACATTTTATTAATCATCCAAACACTATGCTATAGCCGTTTATCTTATAATATCACAACTCTTTCTTTTTCTTTCTCTTCTTGACGCTCAAGAACCAAGCTTAAGGGTTTCACCAATTGATGTTTATTGTTGCATTATGTAATGTAAATGATAAGATTCCATAACAAGAAACAACTTAATGAACATCATCTCCAAAAGGAACTACAAGCTAATATGCGATCGAATATATACAATCTCACGAATCCTGTTAACCAAGAAACTAATTTTACTTTCAGCATTTCAACGACTTAAAAGCAAAACTAACGCGTAGATCACACAAAAAAATCGATTTTTAACGCGTACAAGCATAGTCTACATTCCACAATTGTCTAGAGCCGAGGAAATGATAACAATAAAGGAATGGTTGCGTTTGAAAATCGAAAAGTACCCGAAAAAGAAGCAGCAGAAGCGTGGTGGAATCTAGAAGAAATCGAATGACCTGTACGGATAGCAATGCAGCTTCCTCCTCCAAATCTTCGATTCATTTCCTTCTGCTCCCAATTTGATAGATTTAGCAGGCTAAGGGTCACCGACATTCATCCATGAACGAAGGGCGAGGGACAGAAGGGAGAAAGAGAGAGAGATGGAGAGGGGTCCGTCTTCGTGCTCCGTGGCTCTTAGAAAACTCGGTGTGGTGAATTGGGTTAATCGTGTTGTTTCCGGCCAAGCCGTTTATACCCCTCGAATTTATTGATGTTGACAAGGTTAGTACCTCTCCTTGTAAAGCCTAAGCAAATTCACCCAATTAAAATAGTATTGTTTGTTGAATGATATGCCTTTTTGTGACGGAGAACATGGTAAGTTACCATGTTTTTCATTCAGAATAAGGATGTTTTTCACTCAAAAGTTGTGTTTGGTGTTAATTAGTTTATTTTTCGAGTTTTTTTTTAAGTTGTTATGTTTGGCAAGCTTAAAAATAGTTTATAAGCTAATTTTTCAAAAAGCTACTTAGTCTGTGTACGACCTGTCATAACTAGCTGATAAGCTATCAACTATCTTATTTTTCGAGTTTTTTTTTTTAAGTTGTCATGTTTGATAAGAGAAAATGTAGCTTATCGACTAATTTTTAAAAAGCTACTTAGATTAGTTTTTTTGGAGGTTTTTTATTTTTTATTTTTTCAAATATACCCTTTAATTAATTATAGAACCACATTCTTTTAAATGTCATTTTATATTTTTCAGCTATCTTTTCAGCCAGTTTTACCAAATGATATTTTTAATCAGCTAGCTTTTCAGTTATCAACTATCTTTTCATTTAATAACTAGCTTTTCAGCTAATATGCCAAGCATAGCCTTAGACTAGCTTTTTAGGAGTTTTTTTTAAACTTTTCCAAATGTACCCCTTAATTAATTATAAAAACACATCTTTTTAAATGTCATTTTCTATCATCTTATATCTTTCAGCTAGTTTTACAAAACATTATTTTTTATCAACTAGCTTTTAAGCTACCAACTAGTTTTTTATTTAACAACTAGCTTTTTATTAACAACTAGCTTTTCAACTAGTATGCCAAACATAGCCTAAATATTGTACCAACCGAATACTCAACTACCCGCTATTATATATATATATATATATATATATATATATATATATATATATATATATATATATTAAAAAAGGACCAAAGTAAGGAACAATACCTAACCAGGGTATTGTTCCTCAGGTTACTCTCCTCTATACCGTGGTTTCCACTTCCTGATCCTTCCCACGGCATCTCTTATCACCGTTGTTATTCCATTACGTTTTCTTTTTCTTCCCGATCCTTCGACTGTCTTTCCTTTTATCTGCCCACCGCTTCTTCATCTCAATCCTTCCACCCTTTGTGAGGGCGTCTCTTTAGAACCGATTGAGCACCACATCACCACCGTATGCTTTGGTTCGTTACGTTTTCCTCTTCCATGCTTTCTCATCTGGTCACCTTCACCTCCCCATCTTATATACCTTACACCGCTTAAAAAAAAGGCTGCTTAGAACAACCCTAATAGAGCCGTCGGTCGACTGTTTTTTTTTTTTTTTTTTTTTTTTTTTTTTTTTTGTGATGATTCTGCAATGAAGCAACAACACACATCAACGCTTTTGTTAGTGATGGTGCGACAATGTTGGCTGCTGTGGTGGTTGAGGTTAATCGTCGACTGTTATATCCTCAACAACCCACCGCCCACTGCCATTGACATTGACAACAACTACTTTCGTCTACGTCTTGGGTGTTTTATTTTCTCTTTTGCTTCTTTTTTGCACTCGCAATCCTCGAATTCCCGTCCACTCTCTCCTTCCGATTCTTCACTCTCAACACTTCCACTACTTTCCTCCAACTAATTGCATCTCCTACCTTCTTTTTTTTTTTTTTATCTGAAGGTCCGATTGACGAGACACACGTGCATAATACATTGACACAAATAGATTTGATACAAGTTGTACCTTACATAAGATTCTAAGTATTGGTTGTTGGTTGTTACAAAGATTTTTTTGTCTTACTTTGTTTGTCACAGGGACTTGGTTGTTTTCTCATTTGTATGATGATGTTCGATTAGGAGTGAGAGTAGATTCACCTGGGTGAAAGTTGAAGATACAGTTCATAGAAAGCTTTTGACATCTTCTCGCACCAACATTAGTTTCTATGTTTGTTTCTTTAGGGTTTATTGTTTTGGGTCTTTACTCTGTAATTTTCTATTTCTGTCAGGAAGATTTGGAGATAATATCTATGTTTTTACTGTTATGGATGAACTTATGGTCAGCATCCACCAGGTATTCGATGAAATGCCTACGTCGCTTCTTTTATTTTGTTATCATCACTTTACATGTACTTTATGATTCCATAACCAAATTTTGTAATAGCTTATTGGATTGATTATTTGGTAACTTGAAAAAATTGATTTATGGTTTGCAGGTATTACTTGACTAAGAGAATGGATCAACATGAGGGGTTAACATATGATGTAGTGGTTTCTTTTCCTTTTCCTTTTTTTTAATAAAGAAAAAAATTTCCAAAATACCCATAAAGTATAAACATACTTTTTTTTTCCTATTTGCAGTAAATTCTATCAATTGATGGAAATTCATTTCTTTGTGGCTTTAACTTATATCATAAACATAGGGACATGAAACTAACAAAACATTGTTTGAACATGAAATATGTTTGATTATAGCACTATTGTAGTTAACACAACTACTCGATCTTAAGGTAACTATGAATCTATTATCACAACAAAACAATAATAATATTGAACATTAATATTCAGGGGCATCTCAAAAAGAATCCTAGCACACAAAGGGCAAAAAGTTTACTTGCAATACCATGTGGTCATCGTATTATAATAAGTAGCACTCCACTTCAAAATAACCTAAAAGTATGCATCTTTATATCATTTCATTTTTGAATTTGAATTACACAATAGTTTTATACTTTTAATGCTTTAAAAGCTACTTTATTGATCATCTTTCTTATATAATTCAGGAACTTTGGGCTTTCTTTAACTTCTGTTCTCCAAAGTTTTTGGGAGACAAGAAATGGTAAGATTTCATTTTTTTCTTTTTCTTCTTATTTTTATGTTATTTACTTATTTATGTCTATTTCTTTTCATTTTTAAGGAAAAATATGAGTTGTCAATCCTACGTGGAAATGACAAAAATGCATCTGATAGAGATAAGTGCATTGGTTCAGCTGTTGCACAGGCTATTAGTTATATTTCCCTAAATGAAAAAATAGTTCATAAATATTAAGGAAATAACCTTTTGATATGATTAAAACTATAAAAAAACTAACATTTATCAAAACTTACAAACAAGATTTAAGAAATTGCATTCAACCCTATCTTCTCAGGCATTTTAAAAAGTGTAGTTTTTCGTGATAATGATGCTACAAACACTGCCAAGCTTTCTAAAAAGAATGAGATTATTGTTTGGTTAAGATTATCCAAATGTCAGGTACTTACATTAACTATTTTTATATTCATTATTATATAAAAATTCAACTCATATTCTTTTTATCCTTTTTAATTTACAGAGACAACTACACGAAGCCTTTTTGAGCAGTGAGATTGTTGTTTCAGCCTTTGATGGTTCACCTTTAGCTGCTCTCACGGTATTGTAGTCTTTTATGAGAAGGGTATTTCTATCTTTTGCACATAAGGAGATCAAGAATGCAAATTTTTTGTTCTATTAACATCAGTCTTAGATAATCATATCTGTTTAGATCTATCATCGCAACGCGAGGCTCCTCATCTAGTTCATATCAATATCGTATAATAACTGAGAAAATATGTTATATAACTATATTTGATATTAAATAGTTTGGCTCCTAATAGATTTGGTTACGCTATATGGAGTGTATAGCATTTTCATGTGCATCGTAAGAAGTTAACCAACAACGCTCCCATGAATCATGAGTGTAAGGCTTCACGAGTGTTGCTACGCTTCAATACAAGGGAGAGAGAAATAAAAAACGGTAATATGACATTTTTGGCAATTTTTCAAAATAAATAAATAAATAAACTTATTTATTGTGGGTTGAAAACCCTATGTGCTCACCAGGCTCCCAAGCCTGACCCACTTAGTTTCTTGTATTACAGGTAGTGGCGCATGAGCATAGATGTGATGTTTCGGATGAGAGATTACGGATATAAGCCTGTAGATATGAAATAATGTAGTAAGGCTTATATTGTATTGTTTATACTTATGTATTGTATCGAACATGACATCCCGAGTCTTTTAATGAAATACATTTCTAAGGAAATGCTTTTTATAAATCTTTATCATATTATTGTTTTGGGACAAATTCCGCAACTCTTTTATTAAAAATATTACTCTGGTTTTGAAATAAAGTATAAACAAAACCGGTCTTTTTTTGGCCATGATTTTGGGGATGTCACAGTTGGTATCAGAGCATTAGTTTAAGTGAACTAGGAATTTGTAGGATTTCTAGACTTAAACTTAGAATGTTAAGCGATGATTGTGAGGTGTGAGCACTAGCTTATTTTAGGAATTGTGCCTAAAATGCTTTTATGTGCTAAATGCTTTGTGCCTGATATGCTTTTAATTGTTCGGATCTATGGTCTCTTGCTGACCGGATCTGGAAACCTTATGTGTTTAGGATTCTAAACGTACGACTACGATATTAGAACTAGCATGTAAATGTTTCGGAGAGATAAGGATGATTTGAACATCAGTCCTAAATAAAGATCTTAATTCACCTTATTCAGTGTATAGATCAAGATGGCAAGGACCCGTAGCGGAAACGTGAATGCAAATGGGAACAGAAACCAACCCCCAGTGATTGAGCAAATACCAGTTGTGGAAGCTGCTGTCGGGCCAATAACGATGGCCGGAGTGCAAGCAATGATCCAGGCGATGTTGGATCGTAAAATGGAGGAAACCAGGCGTTTGCTCCAGCAAAATCGAGAGGAAGCGACTATTCATATCGAACAGCCTGAGTTGAACGAAGGGCAGACTGAGGAAGGAAACTATAGTGGGACTGTTGGTCAAGCCAACCCATCGATAGTTAGGCAAAGCCACCAGGATAGAGGAAATGATGGACGTGGATGCAAATACAAGGATTTCATGGCATCCAAACCACCGAGTCCATCCGGAAGCCCGACGCCGGTGCAAAGTCATGAACTGGATCTCTGAGATGGAGGCGATGTTTGAGAGTTGCGAGTGTAGCAACAGGATGAAGACCGCTCTCGCGGTTCCTCTGTTGAAATCTGGAGTACTAAGCTGGTGGAAGCTACTAGCTGA